GGCCATTACTTCTATTTCTTATTGTTTATTTAAATACAGATTTATGTTTTAGGCGGATTAAAGACATGTTAATTTATAATTTCGCACCGCCAGTTGATGGCCCTACTTGGAATGAATACATTTATGCACTACTTGACATCAATAAAATGTATCCCTTGCGTAGTGCCATGTACTTACCATTAATGACTTTCTTCAAACATGAGATACCATACAGATTTTGCGTTTGGTTCGGTCACTTCCTTCCTGCTTTACTTTTGGATGCCGCCAGTATCTGTATTGGACGTAGCCCGAGGTATAAAGCAAAGGCCATTGCACATAAAAGTTCCAATCGTAATTATAAAATTGTAAAAAGCAATAAATTGATTGGCTACTGCATCGGGGCCAAGCATTGCTGCGTCTCGTGTGCAAAAGCAACGCGAGTGAAATGTTATAATCATGGTGGAAGGGATAACATGATGCAGTTATATAGTGTCTCTTTAAATCCCTCTCTGTCTATGGATGTTCTTATTGATAAGTTTCAAGAGCGTTTTTTTCAAATGCGTTCCCATTTACGCATGAAGCGCATGATGTATCGTTTTATCCTTTATTATTTGGTAAACAGCGAGAGCAAGTGATGCATCATGTGCTTTGTTCGTAATTCGGGAAGCACTCAAGAACTTCAACTGTGAAACGCGAAACATGGAGCGGTATTCATAGTCCGTTTTTATTTTAAAACTGTCTTAATATAATGTCTTAAGATGTTAATATAATCTTCGGATTGACTTATAACATCTTAAGATTTTACCTACGATATCTTAAATGTAAGAATCGATTATGAATAGACCTTTATCGCGTTGTGAAATTAGTTTTGAATTTTTTCTTGCACAAGGAAATATTGGTAGTTTTTCCTGCCACTGAATCACACAGCCTTGATAGGTTTTCTGTTATATCTATAATATTTCCTTTAAATCTCTTACAATTATAACTAAAATTTTTATGTGCATTAGCCTTAAATATAAATACTGTGTCTTTTATGGGTTGCATTCACTACTACAACTCATTGAGCGCTCAGTGAACGGTGATACTGAATGCACTCGTTTAAGCCTAGTTCTTAAGAATTAACTCATTGTGCATTTTTTAACCTAAGTACAACTCGTTTCTCATCTCTTTCCAATTCTAGAATACTAGAAGTTGAACTTTGGTTAATAGTTAATCGTGAGTTATGGAACTGGGCCTTAATGTACAGCCGGTCACAGAAAGGTTGCAACATCATGGATCCACAAATAAGAATTAATCGCTAGTTGAGTAGGCTGCATTCCGAAACCCATCTAAAAAAGTGTTGCAACCTTTCTGTGACTAGCTGTATGTACCATAATGGTTTCTATTTAAGTCAAATAAAATTATATTAATAAATTTATATTAATAATTAATAATAATATGAACAATTTTAACAATATTCAATATATTTCAGAATGTGGAAATTGTATATGAAGGTAGACAAATTTTGTAAAGCAATCGTACCTTTTTGTGACACAGAATGGACTTATTCTATCGATAATATTCAATCAATGTGGGATAATCTCAATGAGGGGGATCAAAAATTATTTAAGTTTAACATGGTGGAATTTAATTGGACAGAATACTTAATTAATCATTATCAGGGCATGCGGCTCTATCGACTTAATGAAAATGACAGTATGTTGAAAGTTAGTCGTACGAAATATGCAAGGTAATAAATCTCACTTTCAATTAATCTTTCCAGTTTAAGTTTATTTATAGACAAAATATTTAATTTCAGATTTTATTGGATACACCAAATCATCAAAACTATACTTTTCTTTATAATCTTTTGGATCATCTGGTTTATGTTTAGAAAAATGTTCGAATAATATTTACTTTAAGTATGATATTTGTTATCTTGTTATTATATATAAACTTTAATTTATAAGATCTTCAGTAATATTTTTTAACATTGTTTTTAAATAAAGTAATAGTACCGTATATGGTCTACTTAAGTTTTTGTAATCTTTGTTGAGTCTTAAATTAAAAATTGATGGTTAAATTCAAAAGAGAGAATCTTTTTGAACATTAAAAAATATAAAACATTTCAAATACTTAAATAAGTTTTAATTTGAAGAAAAAATTGTAGCATTTGATCCATATTGGGTACACATAAAAATAGAAGAAATCGCAAATCCAAGATAGACTATAAAATACGGTTATTTTATATCAATCTATTTTAAGTAAATGGAATTAACTATAATCAGTTATATCATTTGATATACGTAGTGTTTGAAATTTAAATATTAAAACTTCAGGAGCGTGTAGAGAATCGATAAATTATGAAAAAAGATCGTGTAGAGATACATTCGTTTTTGCTTCGATTTGGAGAAAATCGCAATAAAGAAAAACGCAATTTTTATTTGTGTGTTTTCTCATTACTTACTCGCATTGTTCACTTTGCATTTATTCACTTGCTTAATATAGATATTACTCAAAATATTGACCCTGCAGCAATACAAATATTGCATCTAGTACGCGGAAACAGCTTATATTCTTCATTTTCTCCTTGGGGAGTCTGTTGTGGCAATATTACATACTATACTGCTTGTAGAGCAGGCGCTCGTAAAGGCGTACGTCAGAACAGAGAGAAACCTAAAAGAGATATGACGGCCTAAAACTTGTAATCGCAAAATGCTGCCTTACACTACTGTCTCCTGACAAAGTGAATATAAGCTACATATCAAGGTCCAATTTTCAAGGCTGCAGATGATAACTCGATATTTGGTTCGTATAATTCGTGCTACATTCACAAAATTGGCTCAGAAATATTCATCTCTGCAATCTTATAAGGATGTGATATTTATTTTGTTTAAACATATTAACATTAAAGTTATATTACACTCTTTTTTTTTACAAATGTGCTAATATTTATATTTCGAATAATAATGAACTCTATACATATGAAAGTTGTATTTCAAGCATTCTATTTCTATTAAACACATTTTTATAATTTATTTACTTTATTTGTTATTATTTTTTATTACAATAATTTGAAAAGCATATAATGACAAAATTAATCTTTTTTTTGTATAAGTACTTTAAGTATTTTAAAATGCAATTATAAGTTTCATTGCGACGCAAAAATTAGGTGTTTAATAAAATAAGATAATAATATAATTTATTAACAATAAAACAATGAAAAGAATCGTTGATGAGTGAAGCTAGTTAATTATGTGCTTGTCCTTATCAATTTTTATACACAAATATTTAAATAATGTTATGAGTTTTAATTTAAAATACTTTATTTATTTATAGAACAATATAACTATGCGATTTCTGCATCGCAGTGAAATTTTACATAATATCCAAACAACTCAAAGTTTAAAATTATGATATAAGATGTTTTTAAGTTGTTTTTTTAAATTCAACGAACGTCTTTCGATTTTAAACTTTTTTGGTTTCTTGTCTTCAACATCTTGTCTTCTCTCTTTATACAGAAAAGTTGAGCTTTTTTTTAATTATCTTATAATATATACATTTTCATACATCTCCATTAGAACACAAGTAAAGAAAATGATTTTTTTAAATAAAATTATTTATTGTGTTATTACACAAAAAGCATAGAATATAATTACTACTTTCATGAAATGATTATCCTACTGAATCCATTTTCAGTGTCACTAATTCTAGAATTAAATCTTTTATTCATCAAGACACATCAAAACACTGTAACAATGACGTGGAGGATGAAAATGTAAGGAAGAATTGGTTCACAGTTTCCTATTTGCCTGCAATTTTTGATAAATTCAAAAATATAACGAGGGACATGAATGCGAATTTTTTGTTACTATAGCATCAATAAATTAGATGATATCATAAAAAGCTATGAGGACAGACTCCCTTCAAGTTCCAACAAAAATGTTTATAAAATAGAATATTGAAATTGTGATGCAACCTATGTTGGACAAATAGGGCGTTTATTAAAAACAGGAGTTAAAGAAAAACATAGAAATGACATCAAAAATCTTTCTGTGAAATTATGATCTTGCAACATAGATTAGAACACAGCACATGAATTTGAATAGGAGAACATAAAAATCTTAGATAGAGAAATACAATTGAGTAGAAGATTCATTTCGGAAATGCTGCATATTCGATTGCAATCAAATGTTTGAATTTGCAATCAGACACGAAGTTTCTGCACTATTCTTATGTGAACATTTTAGAGAAATTCAAGCAATGACATTATATACTCATCTTTGTTTTATTACAATGGTATGACATTTTGTACATTTCCACGGACGTGGCGCTTAGATTTTTGACAATTATTGCTCCTCTGACTTCTATCTCGATAACACATATTTGTCGATTACATATTATGTATTGTTCATTTTATAAAGTTATAATCTAATTAAGAACAAATGTGTGTGTTAATCGTATTTTTTATAAATTGACTTGCGTTTTGGGCGACCGAGTTGTGATCTGTGGTGAATAAAATTGAGTAAGATAAGCAAACATTGAATTCACAATGGTAGAAATTATTATACCTATTTTAGTTAGTTAGACGCTTAGCTAAACAGCAGAGAGGCAGGAAAATAGTCTATTCCCTACCAGGCAATAGAGAGATACTCATTCTCGGTTTCACATGGAGCATAATTTTAACGATGTCCAATGGTTCTGCCGACACATATATTATGTTCTACGAATTTGCTAAAGATGGTTCGAAACCAAAATGTACGAATTAAGTCTGTATTTGTTTTTAATATATTATGTGAAGAGTTTATGACTATTATATAAATTACGCAACAATTCCCGTGCTGTATAAAGCTCTCGTTGTCCGTACAATATATTTTTGTTTTTTAATGCAGAGAGCTCGATTATTTAATTTTGATTTTAAAATTATTTTTTACACGTTCTAAATCATGGCTACAATTTTTATTTTTGTATTTCACACACACACACACACACACACACACACACACACACACACACACACACACACACACAAAACACACACACGCGCATGCACGCACGCACGCACGCACGCTCTTACACATAATTTTATGTATATGCCGAGAGACAGTGGGAGATGCCCCTTTTCGGTTGCGATATTATACGATGGATCATGTGACTTTTGCATGTCCTTTGTATTACTATTACGTCGAATGCCGCGATAATCAGTCTACCATGAGCTCTCTATCTTACATCTTGTAATATTTTATTAAAACTATAATAAATATTAAAACTATAATAAAACGTAGACTTTGTCATATTATTCCACGAATATCCCACCAATTATCATTCCAAAGTATTTTAAGATTCGCCATTTTTATTTTCTAATATGGTCGTTACAAATTTGCCTATATTTCTGAGTTTTGTAATTAGTTCCAGATTGATATTTTTGAATCCTTTTACTGATTTGTTGGCTCTTTGTAATTCTTGGTATTTGAGTTACTGACCATCTCTACTTTGTTGGAACTGGACATGGTCTGTGTGACTTGTGCAAAAGTTTTCCTCCGTTTCTAGGAAGATCTAATGATCTAATGATGTTATTAACAAGTTCTATATTTGTTTTCTGTCGAAAAGATGAATATCTTTGTCTGTAATTCCTTGTATATTTTGCATTTTGGAGGAGCATGAGACTTTTTACAATCTGTGTTACTATGACCCGATTGCATATTATTTGTGTTACTTTGATCACAACGAATGCATCTGGGGAGTGCCCATATCACATTGCAGTATTTTTTTATATGGTCATATCATTATATGGTCATTCAGTGGGCGCGTTGTGGAATCCAGTTTTGTGAGAAGATTCAATGTTGACTCTACAATTTAAGAGTCCTTTGATTTATAATATACACACATTATCTGTATCTACAAATTGTATAGACAGGGATTTTTTTGTAATTCTACTTATAGGGATATAGATGTTAACTATCTTAAAACTTGTTTTCTAATTCAGATTTTAGATCGCTCTTATCTATATTATAATGTAGATTAACACAATGTCATGGCTTATTTCGAGCTATAATTAAATTAACTTTAAATTAATATAACATTACATTAACATTACATTTCGATTTACAAAGTCGGATTATAAAGAAAAATATAGTTTTGATGATTTGGTGTATCCAATAAAATCTGAAATTAAATATTTTGTCTATAAATAAACTTAAACTGGAAAGATTAATTGAAAGTGAGATTTATTACCTTGCATATTTCGTACGACTAACTTTCAACATACTGTTATTTTCATTAAGTCGATAGAGCCGCATGCCCTGATAATGATTAATTAAGTATTCTGTCCAATTAAATTCCACCATGTTAAACTTAAATAATTTTTGATCCCCCTCATTGAGATTATCCCACATTGATTGAATATTATCGATAGAATAAGTCCATTCTGTGTCACAAAAAGGTACGATTGCTTTACAAAATTTGTCTACCTTCATATACAATTTCCACATTCTGAAATATATTGAATATTGTTAAAATTGTTCATATTATTATTAATTATTAATATAAATTTATTAATATAATTTTATTTGACTTAAATAGAAACCATTATGGTACATACAGCTAGTCACAGAAAGGTTGCAACACTTTTTTAGATGAGTTTCGGAATGCAGCCTACTCAACTAGCGATTAATTTTTATTTGTGGATCCATGATGTTGCAACCTTTCTGTGACCGGCTGTACATTAAGGCCCAGTTCC